GGAACGGGAACGGGAACGGGGTACGCAATATGCTCTAAAATGTGGTACGATAGGGGTAGACTTGTCTATATTACATTTAAGAATGTAAGGTACTTCTAGAGTAATTTTCTTTTAATTATTAGGCATCCAACAAAATGTATTTTTTAATATTTTTTGTTCATTTTTGATGTTTTTGTAAACTTAACTCACCTTAGATTTTAGTTCATAATTTTGATTTTTTTTTCCCCTTAAGGTAACATTTAAGGAAATATATTAATAAAGACTTTTGGGATCATTTTGGATCACTAAATTTATCATTTTGGAACGGAAGTGTACCATGTTTTAGAACGTATGCACCAATACGTAATTCACTAGGGTATTATCGTTTCCTGGTAACACATAGCATTGACATTATCAAGTTATATAAATTTGTGATGTACAGAACACACAACCTTGTTCTTTGGTAGTGAATTAGTTGTATTTGTGCTTTCTTATCTTGTACATTTCATTTTGAAGTTTTCAATTGTATTTGTACTTTTGCTTTCAGATCTCTGGACCTCTCCTGGATGAAAGCCAGGTCAAGAGCATTGTGGATGAGATAAAACAGGTGATCACAGCCAGCTCAAGTAGAAAGGGAGAAAGAGCAGAGAGGGCCAAAGCTGAGGACTTCGATGCTGAGGAGGGGGAAATACTAAGAGAGGAAAATGAGCAAGAGGAAGAAGTTTTTGATCAAGTTTGTCTTCCACTAATCATTTTTTAGTGTCATGGATTACATGTTCATCTTTTTATTATATGGTTCTAATAAAATTTAATTTCATTTTTTGCCTCACAAACGGATTTCCTGATTCAGGTAGGGGAAATCTTGGGAACTTTGATAAAAACATTTAAGGCCTCGTTCTTGCCCTTCTTTGATGAGTTGTCATCATATCTTACGCCTATGTGGGTAAGTTCTGCTTCAAGCTACCCATTCATGTTTTATGTATCTTTTGTGTTTAATCTTGCTTTGATATTTGATGCTCATGGGTTTGTTGTAGGGTGTACCCATATGATAGTCTTCTGTAACTCTTCTATTCATCATTCTGTTAATGTTGAATTTTGTGTGAGCAGCTCTGTTACATCGTGCTTCATTACTTGCCTACTCGTCTCAATTGCAGGGGAAGGATAAAACAGCTGAGGAGAGAAGGATAGCAATTTGCATCTTTGATGATGTTGCAGAGCAGTGTCACAAAGCAGCTCTGAAGTAAATATTCCTTTCAAAACATTTATGTAGATGTACTGATTGCTATTGTGGCCATTTATCCAATATAATTTTTCTACATGTGTTGAACAGATATTATGATACATATCTTCCTTTCCTTTTGGAAGCTTGCAATGACATGAACCTAGATGTCTGGCAGGTCTGCACAAACTACTCAATATTTGGTTTAATCCCTAAGTTTCTTTGCTGTTGATCACTTTTGAAACATGTTTATTTTCAGGCTGCTGTATATGGACTTGGCGTTTGTGCAGAATTTGGTGGTTCTGTTTTTAAACCTCTTGTTTTAGGTACAATCTGCTTCCACATTTGGGGAGTTGATTTCCTTCATATTTCCTTTGAGTTGATAGTTTCTCTTTATACCTTGTTCAGAGGCTCTTTCAACGTTAAATGTTGTGATAAGGGACCCTAATGCCTTGTAACCTGAAAACATAATGGCATATGATAATGTTGTTTCTGCTATGGGAAAAATATGTCAGTTCCATCGTGAGAGTATAGGTTCAGCTCAGGTAATTCCTCTTTCTTTATTGTTCACAAGCCTATTCAAGCATAAATAATTCTGCAAAATGTGGATTCTTTGATTCTTTTGGTTCACCTTGAAACTTGAATATATTGCGCAGAATGACTTTTAGTTATCTTAGGGTGTGTTGTGGGCTACCTTGCACCTTTTAAACTAACAAGGTCTTGACTCTTGATATGTGATTTGTTAGGCATTTATTAATTAGTATGTGTATCCTAAATATTTAATGAAATACTAGAGTTCTGAAATGGATTATTTATATACTTGTGTTCCCATATACTTACTTTGTGCAAGAAAACAAAATGATAAGTGATAATCAGTTCGTAACTCGTGCACAATTTGCTTATGCTTTTTCTTTAGTGGATGCTTCTTTAATAGGGGGGATTTTTTTGTTTGTAGTGGCAGTTTCATTAATTGGTTCAGTTTCTTTTCATTTGGGGATGGTCTCACATTTTTCACCTTTCATGATTTCTTGGTTTAAGAGGGCATTACTTGATTCTTGTAGAGTCATTCTTGCTGTGTATGATCTTTTACAAATATCTACTTATAGTTGATGCTCCTGAAATGGTTGAGTTTTTTTTTAAACCTTAGTTCTTATGAATACTTGTAGCTTTTGTTGGCACTTCCTCATGCTATAACGGGCATCTCAAACCCCTTGATCCTCAACCTCTGCCTGACCCACATCCAGCCAGACATAATCCCTCCAAGTACTGTATGTACCATCAGCAGCGCGGTCATGGCACCGACCGTTGCTACCGCCTTCGTCATGAGGTCCAAAATCTCATTGACAACCGAACGATAGCTCCACCTTCAGCCCCCGATGACCAAGTATCTCATCCACATCTCAATCTAATCCACACACTGGTCGTCCCTTATGACCCCAGCATGTACATCACCCCAGTCCATCTACCCAGGCCTAATGTGTTTATCCTAGAGAGCCTGGACTTATGCATGATGGGTGCATCTGAACCCCAATCATCTCAAACCCACGAACCCACTACTTCTGAGCTGATGAAAATGATTGAGGACCTTCAGAGAACTGTGGCAGATCTGGCCTTTGGGATTTTGGCCCCATCATCGACCACATCACATACCAGAGAGTTCATGTCAAAAGGCTCCTCAGGACGGGCTGCATTTGAAGAAGGCCAATCCCCTGGCAAAGTGGAGGCAAGTGGTAAGAACAAGGTAGGGGCAGGCATTGGTCCCCATGAACACCTTCAGTGGGATATTGAGGCTTTGAAAGCCAAAAGGCTGAACAAACAGCAAGTACTCGTAGTTGTTGCAAAAATTGTAGATGACACTTTCGCCACTCAGAATGAGAGCAGTCTGAATCAAGGGGCAATCCGGGAGAAGGGCCGCTGTACCAGGAATGTTCCTTTCAACTCTAAACCCTTGCTCGGAAGAGATCAGCAAACCCAGTCAGCACCTACCAATCCCTTTGCTGGTGCATCCAACAAAACTCCACAAACCTCAAAACACCCACCTCGAGGCCAGAGGGTGTTCGCACCACTGTACATGTCTTTATCAGCGACCTTGAGGGTCCTGATTAGAGAGGGGGATCTGAAACCCCTGGAGCCACGACCCCTGCCAGATAGACTTCCTTCCTCCCATGATCCGACCAAGTACTGTGCCTTTCATCAGCAAGTCGGCCATGTCACTGATGGTTGTTTCCGCATTCGCCACGAAATACAAGATCTGATTGACAATAAGGTCATCGTCGCACCAACTCAACAAAGTCTATCGTCATTGGATCGGTGAACCTGGGGGATAATGCGGTGCGATCGGGAGATGAACCACCTGCGGGCGGCGCTCAGTTTACTTCAGATGTGGCGTTTGACATGCACAATTTTGAGCAATGTGCGAACACTAGTTTTTGTACTTTCTGACTTGGGTATTGGGTCAGTTTTGTTGTTTTGTATATGGTCAGTCTTTTTGTACTAAGTCGGTCAGGTCTGTCTTGTTGTATCGAGTCAGTCCTGTTTTGTTAGAGTCAGGTGATTCCAGGGGTGTTACCTCGGGCATCACTATTTTGTTTTGTGTTTGTCTTTTCGCTTTCTTTTGAGTCTGTTTCTGCCATGGAGCCAGTTACACCAACAGTTATGAATGAAACAGCAGTGGTTTTTCATGCTTTTGTGCTTACTTCTGCCTTGTGTCATTTGTACCAGAAAGTCGAATGGAACGACAGTGCATTTCACCGGCTTCTCTGTGCTTTTAAGTCATTGCGTTGACCTAAGTTTTTCGAAGCTATTTTTGAACATTGTGATGAAAACGAAGAGGAAGGAATTCCTCGGGTTTTTGCAAAAATTTGATCATTTGAGAGAAAGAGAGGCATGCTAAGCCTTTAATGATTGAGATCATGCTTGTTAATGTGAGTACTGAGAAGGATCCTGGCTTGATCCAGATTGGTCTCACACTGTCTTCAGCGCGAGCGACTAGTCGCTCTCTTAAAAGATTTAAAAAAAAAATGTTTTGCGCGATCCTATGAAGACCTGTGTGGAAACGCTCTTGAGATTGTGCAGCCGAGGATCGCTCTCAGCCTCGAGACTCGACCCCTCATTTTCAAACCTTGGACTTAAATTCAGAATGGTCAATGGTCAACCATCAAAGGAGGCCTGTGTGGCCATATTTAAAGCAGCCCTCAAACTAGGGGCAAGAAAAGTCAGATCAAGGGGATCAGATGTCGCCAAAAGAAGCTTGCAAAGCTAGATCAGAAGTATCCCTGGAACTAGGGGCAAAAATGCCAGATGTGCTCGAAGAGCCAAAGATTGGTCGTCCTGCAAATCAATGAAGACTGGCAAGAATGCCAAACCCCAGAAGAGAAGAAAGAAGAAAGTATTGCTGAAGAACTACTGAGTTCCTATCCACAACACTAGGGGCAAATCCGGCCCCCATGGGATGGACTCCTGCATTGTCAGCGAACAACAGTCACTCTCCTGGATTCAGACGGATTCGAGATCTCAAAACCATTTGACATGGACAAAGTTGCACTTTTACCCTTGAGAGGCTCGCTGGGCCGAAAACCCGGAAGGGCAACCCAGGCAAAAGTTAGAGCAAGGAAAAAAAGGAAAAGAACAAAAAAGAAGAAGAAGAAAAATGAAGAAAAAAAGAAAGAAAAGAAAAGATAAAAAAAATGAAAGGAATTGAAAAGAAAAGGAAAACAGAACTCGCATGGTTGAAAACCTGGAAGGGCGGCCTTGGCAAAAGTTAGAGCGCAAAAGGAGAGGTTAAATACCCGAGTGTACCTTAACCCCGAACTAAGTAAGGCTTGATTCCCATCTTTGGGATACGTAGGCAACTTCATTCCGCAGTCCAGCCGTAAAACACTTCAAAATCAACTGTGTCCATGTAATGGTTTTGATCATCTTTGCCTTCTCTGTATCCGAGAGTTCGGTTGTTATCGTCACTCTGAGGACTGATTGCAATGCGCTGCGATGCTATCCAAACAAGGGGAAACTTTCCGTTGCCATACAGTGTGCCGCGGTACCATTCAAACAAGGGGCAACTTTCTGTTGCCGTGCAGCTCTTTTCAAGCAAGGGGCAATTTTCCTTCGGATCTGAAGTTGCGCATCTCATGAGTAGGTTCCGTGCTTGTTGAGCATTGGCCGTTTGCAAAAATAATTTTTGAGAATTTTTATTGAGGTTGACTGATCTCTCGAAAATTATTCCATCTTTTCCAAAACTGGACCATTTCTTGGACCCAAAAAAGGAAAATTTTCAGTGCTCATAACCTAGCTTGCATGATTTTCAAATCAAAAATTGAACAAGTATGTTAATCTAACTCTCATATTGGTCAAAATTGTTTCAGTAGAAAGCAAAAACAAAAAATGGTCAAAATAATGAACTAAGGGCAAAGTTAAGTCAGGTGTTCTGTCTTTTCCCCGCTGTCAACATACTTGCCAGAAAAGGGCACTCCACTTGCCAAAAAGGACACTCTACCCGCCAGAAAAGGGCATAACTGAAGTTAATGACAAAGGGCTGAAAGCTCTCTCATCCTCCAAGCAGCGAGGTATCAAGCCAAGTGCGAAGCACGAACGGGAACGGATCAAGATATTCCACTCCTTTGTTTGGACAGATCTAATCACGTCCAAACTCCCCAGTAAGAGCATCGTCAACCAATGTCAATTGCAGATCTGCTGCACATACAGCCACATCGCAACCCCTCTGTGGGAGAAAGTTCACTATTGTGAGCAGAAGAAGAGAATCTAGCAGAATGCTTGGGGCAAGAACCCGCAACTTCCTGTTTATTCATCAACCACCCTGGGGAGGGATGAAAAATGAGAGATTAAAGAATAGAGAGATGTGCGCTGAGAGAAAAAGTGAGAAAAGGG